AGGATGCAATGGCTTTATTGAAGATTGGTAGACCTGATTTGTTTATCACAATAATGTATAATTCAAAATAGCTAAAAATTTAGGCATTGCTGTTACTAGGACAAACTGCTCAGAACTGACCAAATATTACTAGTAATTTTTCTAGTGATTAAGTTTAAAATCAATAGTTGAAGTTCAATTCAGAAATGCTATTTTTTTAACTTGAAGAAATATATAAATAATACTTTTAACTATTAAGAAATATATCATTAGTTATTTTTAAATAATGTATTACATTTAATATTTTTTACATTTTTTTTTCTATTTGTAGCGCAAATTTTTTGAGAAAAACTGAATGAATTAAAAAAAGATCTTCTCAAATGAAGCATATTTGAATGTATTATTGCATATATATACGTAATCGAATTTCAAAAGTGAGAACTATCTCATATGCACATATTACTTATACTCTATCCAGAAAACAAACCCCAAGGATCTGTCAATTATGATGCAATTGTCAACACAAAAATACCTGACCAAACTATTAATCTCAGAGCATATGTAGCAGTTATTTCAAACATAATTTATAGACCATGTAGAGAGCTAAATATCAACACACTATATATAACTGATGATGATACAGGATATAAGCGATATTCCAAAGGTTTTTCTAAGCAATTTCATAATGAAATGCTCCAAAGCAAGAGCTCTTATCCTAAATATTGTTATTGTCAAGATAGTAGACAAGTCAAAGTAAAAGTAGGAAATCGAGCCTTCAAATTAGATAATCGATAGATTGTTCTGCACAATATATTCTTTTGTGCAAAATACAACTATCATATTAATATAGAAATTTGTGGTAGCATTAAGGCCATTAAATATATATTTAAATATATATATAAGGGGCATGACAGAATGATGATTAAAGTCAGTGAGGAACAACAACATGCTATTCAAGAACAGCCAGTTACCGTCAATAAAATTCAAAATTTTGTAGAAGCTTGCTGGATTTTAGCTATTTTGAATTATACATTATTGTGATAAACAAATCAGGTCTACCAATCTTCAATAAAGCCATTGCATCCT